TCTAAAACTGCACGTTTTTGTTTGTTACTTAATGTACAATTTTACTTCTTTAATAGGGTTTCTGATGAAATGAACGCGTACAGACTGGTTCGATCTAATGGCCGACCTAATGGTAACTGTGATCTGATCATCAACGCAGGGCTTGGGTGCGCGTTTTTCTACCGAGGACAGGGACAATTTTTGTCAACTGTGCTATGCGTTACGGAGGTGGATGGTGGTATTCCAATTGTGGTTCCGGAACATTCTTTAACCAACAGTGGGATTGTGATTACAAAACTTTAAGCTTCAATGCCACAATCGCCAGGTACAACCGATGTCCTTGAAGCTAAAACCATAACAGTGTAAATAATGAAATGGAGCTATGCAGCAAGATTATACTGTAGTTTCCAACACAAGAAATTGGACTCACCCAAATTTTCGACTGGACAACTCCAGTCTTTGTCAGGGATGAACAATCCACCGCTTCCGTGACGTCACGCAGATAACACACGTGACTCCGTGAGCAGTGGCGCCCCCCGTCTCTGTTGAGGGATGGTTGTAATGCCCTGATGTAGATGGCCTCTTTAATCCCCCGTGCAAAGAAATCCTCAACAGAGACGGGGGGCGCCACAGACTTTCTGCAACCTATGATCCACTGCTTACGGAGTCACGTGTGTTATCTGCGTGACGTCACGGAATCGGTGGATTGCTCATTCCTTGACAAAGACTGGAGTTGTACAGTCGAAAATTTGAGTCCAGTTTTTGGGTTGGAAATTGAAATTTAATATTACTGCATAATGCATATGACTTCTACCAACATTTTCAAGATAATGAAATGAAGCTGTTGTTTTATATTATTAAGATTTAGGCCACAGCATGTAAATTGTATGGATGGCATCCTCCGCAGACTCATTAACTAATGCAAGAGGGCGAAAAAAACAAGGCAGAACCCAAAAACAAGATTCCTACATTTTCAAATGTTGACATTATGAACCTTGTAAAACAAGAAATGATGCCTATACTGTGTTAAATTTGTTGCCAACTTTTACAGCATTCATTTCTCACTGAATCGAAAAGTTTTTAAATCTTTGTACAATAGTTTTAATTCAGCTGGAACATCACATCTAAAAGGAATGAACTACATCACTGCATCAAAGTAAGAGACAAAACATTAAATCAGAGCCTTGTTTTGTCTCATCTCATCTCTTCATATTTATCTGGCATCCGTATTACGGCATGGCAACAAACATCTTTGCCCATTTTTTGGCACGTTGACCACTGCCAGAGGGCAACAAATTTTTTTCCCTAAAATCAGGCGAAAGTTAATGCGTGTGTGGATGTCATCCCTAAAAATGCCATCCACTTGCTGTGGCCTTACTAAATTTGTGAAAGGATTAACTACATGTATCAGGTGTGTATCTCCCGAACACGGGACCTTCGGCTTCACGCTTGTCCAACGACGACGTCCCTAGCGGAAGCTAGGTATAGTCATTTACACCTGAATGGATTAAGGAAAGCCATGTAAAGTGCCTTCCGCAAGGGTACAAGGTGGCTTACATGGCAATATTTGAACCCGTTTTTTTTTGTTTCGAGCGGAATACACTACATTTAAGCTACACGACTCTCTGTTCAGTTAAGTTATGCTCTGTTATTTGGGTGATGGTGTGTTTAAGTGAAATTGATATATGATTCCGCACATGTTTATGACTATACGACTCTTTTAAAATAACATAGACAGGAGATGACAGGACAGAATTCTGACACTAAAGAAAATGTCGTAATTGATTTTAAACTAGAGCTTAAATCAAGCTTAAATAAAAACATAGTTTTGCACATAGAAATCTACAATATATGTCAATGTTTATTGCATGCCGATAGTAATAAGTACAATAAAAGGCAGATGATAAGATTAATAACTAAGATAAGAACTAATACACCTCTACAAGTACAATATTTTTATGCAATAAGAAATCGTAAATTTCACCCCACATGGTAATATTTGCAGATTTTTAGTGTGTTACTTATTAAAATTTTAATCACGTTTTGACTAAAATTACCATTGTTTTTTTATCTACAACAGGATCGAAATAGTACATAACTAGAGTTCCACGATCTTATACCTTCGGCAAATAATGCTAATCTTTATGATTATGATTAACAAATTATAGATTATTCTCCTTGGTTGTACAAATAGAACTCTCATTGCGATGAATTGCATTAACTGATCATATTCTTCTTTGTCTTACCTTAACAAAGAATGCCATTCTAGCATTTTCCCATAAATGAAGTAAATAATGTCATTATTTGAATGAGTTATGTTTATTTATGTTCACTTTCACTTAACTTTTAAATGCCCTAAGTATGAGATTCCAGCTAGTTACCATTGCTGAATTACAAACTTTTTTCATTAATTATGCAAATTAAGTATTAATTTATATAATCAATATCTGCATGTGTTTTTCTCGTTGCCGTATACCACAAGCGTACATAGTTTTTTACCGTGTGTATTTTTTATACGCAATCAAATACCACTACATACCATCATATTGATGATCTGTGCACTATCCTAAAAAAGAAGAAACTAAAAAAGAAACATTTGCAAAGCAAATGTATAATGTTGACCTTCGCATATGATCTGCTCTGTTAATTCTTCCTCAAACACACTCATATATTTGGTCAGACAGGAGTCTAAATCCCTCCTGCTATAAAATTGCAACATTATGTAATGCAACACCAGTAACCATGGTGAAAGGCAGTCTGGTTCAGTGAGGTCAGAGGTCACTGTTTGGAGAAGAAGAAGAGGAAACGTAGCAAAAACAATATGTTTTCCTTCGGTGAACATAAAAAGAACTCATCCAGATTTCTTACTCCGTGTGCCGATCGTTGTTAATCCTGGCCATACTTGAATTCTCAACAAATTGAAGGTGTCTGTTTGTCACTAATTATCTCTTCTGTCACCAAACCAACCATACAACTTTTCCATCCCTGGACAGACAACTGTCTCCTAAAACATGCTTTCTCGGTCATCCAACTGGTTTCCCCCATTGCTGACCTCTGATTGGAAGATCCCAGAAAGCAGAATCATGAGTTGTCTACCAAACCAGTCCTACAAGGTTTTCCCAGACAACATTTGCGTTGTAGGAAATCTAGTGGACTGACACACATTTCATGTAGGTGGGTCAATACGCTTTTTCTTCAAAACGCCTTGACCGCGCAAACGCTACTAGGGAAGGACTTGCAACTGGCACTCCAAGGTATGCAAGCAGTCGATTTACTTAATGTTGAGATCGAGATCTGACTTAGATATACTTCGTAACTTTTTTCTAGTTATTATCTATGTCTTAACTTATACTGTGTGATTGACTATATCGTCTACTACCAAATTGGCAATTTTTCGGTACAAGTCATCAGACAACGCAACCATTTGCAGCAGCGATTAGATTGTCAGATGCAGATTTGAACATATATGTAATAAGTTAAATCTGAGATTTTATACCTCCGGGATTTTTATTGTATATTCTTATATATTGTTTGTTATGAATAGTTGATGGTGTTTTATGTGTTAGATTTAGCGTTCCAGGTTGTGCTAACACAGTCAGATCAACATTTTCATCTGCAGCTTATAACATGTACCCATGAACTTATAAAATTCTATTTAATCTGCCGCAAGGAACTCCTAATGAAACTCAGAATGACAACCGGAACCGTTAAATCATACGTTAAAACCAAAAATATTTCGATCGAAAACATAGTGACTGGGGTCCGAAATGATCGAACACTTTCACTAATTTTACCAGTATTATGAAAACATCAGTAGGAGGCACTATTGCACTGCAACAAGCAGCCAGTACATTCTGGGAGCCATTTTCATATTATAAATCAAAGTCCACCTATTTTAGGCAGGTCATATTGGAGTTAGACCTCACTTTTTCGATGTCACTTAGATCTAAAAAAACAGGAATCTTTTTTCAGGTGCTCTTGTCTGTTTTGTGGTGTCCGTAGGATGTCATGCAGGCAATCAAGTCAGTAGTCATGTATAATCATAGTCGGTAGAGCATGGGATTCCAGTTTGAATGTGCGACTTTTTTATTTTTTATTTTATTTCACTCCATAGGTGCAACATGTGTGGTATATGGGCGATATTCGGCAGTGATGAGGATGTGTCCAAGCAGTGCGTCAGCGCGCTCAGTATCGGACACCGCGGGCCCGACTGTTTCCGTCTGGAGAACATCAACCACTTCAAGAACTGCTGCTTCGGCTTCCATCGATTGGCCATCGTGGGAGACATGTTTGGCATGCAGCCAATGAGAGTCCACAGATATCCCCAAATATGGCTGTGCTTCAACGGAGAAATCTACAACTACAGAAGGGTAAGATGAATATTAGATTCGTAATAGTCTGTACTTTTTATTTGCCTTTTCTCTGTAATGTCACTTTCTAACTTTAACTCATTTTTGCTTGTCTGTGTGTATGCGAATGTATGTGTGCGTACATGTCAAGATCTCCCTGTGTGTACGTGTGTGTGTTTGTGTCTAGTTCTACTGTGTTTTTGTGTGTTTGTTTATGTCTGTATGTGTTCCTGCAGTTCCAAATTGAACACAGCACTACCATTTCAGTGCTGCCGTGTATGTGCCAAATGAACATAACTGGTATGGGTTGAAGTCTGTCATCTTTGATCAACTTAATTATCAACAATGTTGCAGATAGCCGAGCAGTTTGGGTTCAACTATGAGACAGGCTGTGACGGTGAGGCCATCATCAGTCTCTACATGCACGGTGGGATCGAGTTCGCTGCCAAACACCTGGATGGGGTCTTTGCTTTTATTCTCCTGGACACACAACAGAAGAGGGTGGGTTTTTTTCCTCCATAAAAATGTATTGTTTTTTTTTGTTTGATTCTATTGTGTTTGGGCGGTCAGTGTGTGTGTCAGTGCGTATGTGTCTGTTTCCGCAAGTGTGTATTCACCATTCACTTCAGAAAACATTTATGGATTGTGGTGATAATTAAAATGTCAGCAGATCGTAGAAAAGTCCCAATTCAAATATGAGCTCCTGGTGGCTGGCCTTCAAGTTGGTACTGCAGCATTGTTAAAAGTATCGACCCGAATCTGACGACTTGTAATGGTTTATTTGTTCATACATACATGTACATACATACATACATGTACATAAACTAACATGTCAAACACATCTCGCAGCCCATAGGCTGAATTGGGGTGTTAACATTTACAAAACGAAGCTCAGGCTTTAAAAAACTAGAATATCGGAATTTAAAAGATAAACGTAACAAGTCATCATATTATATATTAAAATAGAAGCAAATCTCCCATATTAAAAACAACTCTCAATACAAATGTAAAATAAAGGTAACTATAAAGGACATGTAAACTCTAGCAAACACGGCAAAATTAAAATAATGGGGTGAGGAAGGCATCGTCAGTCAATGTACAATTAGTTGTTAATCAAGCGCGTCATGTACGGGACAGCGCTGTTTCTGTATCTTTCAGTTCTACATCGCTGGAGTTCTATAGGTTGCTAGAATAGCGAGTTTGACAGCTGGGGATAGTCGTTCTGGAAAGTGGCAGAAGGTGACGGTGATGGCCGGATGTTAGCAGGGATTTGGCAAACTTTAGTGTCAATTCCTCACGACGCACGTGGAGAGATGCTAGGCCGAGTTGTGAGCAGTTGGAGTAGTTGGGACCCAGGATAATCCAAACAGCTCGGCGCTGGATCCATCACTTCATCCCCAGAGCTCTGGACAAACGCTTCCATGTCTTGGAAAAAAAGATATATTAAGTTAAATCATCAATTGTAAATTTCTATTTTTAATTGTAAAATCCTATGGATGCCCTTTGACGCTTGGTTCCAAAAGGAAAGCTTTAAATGCAGTTGGCAAAATTATTACAGTAAACACAAAATCCACATACACCTTTACACCTATGCATGAGCCGTTGCAGCTAGATACTGTTATTATTTCTGTGTGTTTTTTTCCAGTGTGACTTTGTACAAAATCCAGAAATACGGCCACCCTTAATGTTACAAATATTTCTGTCGCTCCCAGGTGTACCTTGGACGGGATACCTACGGAGTGCGTCCCATGTTCCGCCTGCTGAAGGATGATGGCTTTCTGGCCGTCTGCTCAGAGGCTAAGGGTGAGTGAGCCTGTAACTGTAAGAAAAGTGTTATATGGTGGGGAGTTGGTAACCTCTTACCATTTGAAACAAGGACGAGAAATCAGAGATTTAAAACTTCCAAGATGTATGCAATCATCCGACTGCCGAATTCCCTCATCTTACCGTCTTACCGGTCCCTTGACCGGGGTGGTCGTGGGGGCACCTAGTGGCTGAACACCTTCCTCCATCCCTCTCTGTCACGAGTCAGCGTTCGAGCGCTGGCAAGGGGCAAGCCGGTCCACTCCTTGACGTTGTCGTCCCATTTATTCCTTTGTCTCCCTCTCTTTCTTTTCCCTGGTACAGTTCTAGCATAAGTTTTGAGAGGCCTTTACCTCTGGTCATATGGCCGTACCATTTTAACTTTCTTCTTTTAATGACATTTAGGAGATCTTCAAGGACTTCTTCCGTTAGCTTGTTTAATGATGTTTCTGACTTCCATGTTGGTAACGTGGTCCTTGTAAGTTACATTTAAAAGTATTCTGTAACACCTCATGACGAGAAACTATGTCGACCACTTATTCCTATTGGCTTCCGGTCGGATAATGAGACTTCTCCTACCCATATGCTGTCAACCTACTCTTTCCTCACAGGCACAAATCCAGAGCTCGGTCGCACAATACTTTCGTACCTAGGAGTTCCAAGTGATAAATAAATAAATAACTAGAAAGGCCAACATTTGCTTCGGAGCAAATGTAATATTTCACTCCATCTCCCTCCCCATACAAAAATAGAAGATTCTGAATAAATCATACTGCAATCATACAAGGACAAGCTTTTTGAATCTCGACAGATATTTACAAAAATGGCACTTGGCCATTATCTCCCTTTTTTTTTACAAAGATACAACGACAAGCACTTTAAATCTCGACAGCTTTACTTTACACTTATCTCAATTTCAAAGTTACATATTGCAGGTATCTAAATACTACTAATGACGAAATTGCAACTACTACTAACGGTAGCAAAATTTTCACGGTCTGAGAAACATGGACATGTTCACGGAACTATATATTCACGGTGGTGACAGTTGCAGGAAAAAGAAAGTCCAGGAATTATTTCCTAACTGTAAAGATAAGTTCACGGTACAGAGGTGACAGTGAAAACCGTGAACATTGACCTCCTGCTTGCGTTACGTTGCGGTACAGTGAAAAAAAAATCGGGAATTACAGTAATCAATTTACAGAGTATGTTTGCTTAGTTTCCAGATGTTTTGTATGAATGTCGTAAACTTAGTTTTAAATTAACGAAAACCGATGCGCGCACAGATGCCATCCATACAATCAAATCAACATGGCCTTATTAACAATCACATAAACTATGAAGCCATACATTGAATAAGCTATACATATAATATGATTATCATAACCTTTATTTTTAAAATCATGCCAGTGAGCTAATTGCATGTACAGAGTGAAAGAAAGTAAAGTAAAGTAAAGCAGTAGAATTTCTGTACTAAGCTATGATAGTACTCCATATGATTCGTCCTCATCGTCATCATTCAATGTGGTCTATCTCTTGCTACTAGTGACTGGTAATACCTCTGTAGATTCTTCACACTGGCAGAGTACCGTACTCATTCTCTCTTGTCAGCTCCATACTTTTGTGACAACATCAAAGTGATTTTGGTTTGTATGTTGGAAAAATACAAAAGACTAACATTCTAAGTTATTGACATTCTTGAGTAAGAACAATCAGTTTTTGAATGTTAAAAGCAAAACAACGAAAATACAAAAAAAATGTTAGAAATTATTAAAATGCAGGATTGTTAAAATTGTTAAAACTGTTTAAACTTATTTTAAAATTGTTTAAAATGTTAATATCCGATGCACTGGGGTTCGAACTCACAATTTCTGGGATTGCCGTCTGGCGCGTTACCAACCGAGCTAACTCGTTGCGATACACATCACTCACTGCATTGTATGTCATATAAAGTAAACAGCATGGCGGTATCGATCGCCTCAAGCCACCAAGACTTTCAACTATTAACTACGGGGTTTCCTTCTTTATCAGGTTTGCTTTTGAACCACCTTGATGTTACTTAACTATCAACCCGGCTAGCAGAAGCCGCCGGCTCCTTTGATATTACAGCCGCTCCCTGTCCAATCTTGTTTACACGCCGGGCGCAGGTCATTGACCTCCAACTTGCGTTGTTCCAACAGAGAAGAGCAAAATGTCTGGCTCCCGCAGAACGTACCGCACTCTCCCGCTGGACGTACCGCACTCTCCCGCAGAACGTATCGCACTCTCCCGGAGGACGTCCCGCACTCTCCCGAGGGAAGTCCCGCACAGCGTCCTGCACTCTCCCGCAGAACGTCCCTCGAAAATTGATGCGTATTTCGTGGCCTGTGCTGTACCTACCAAAACACTTGAGTTCATACTGTCAAAATGGAATGGCTTTGAACAGGTGTTAATTGAGTTAATCCAATCAAATCCAACAGCCAATCAGCAAGAAGAAAAGATTAGGCTGCGTCAGGTTCATGCTTGCATGCCCATATTTGGGCCCGCCCCCGAATTCCTTTCTTATTACGTCACGCGCGTACGCCCCACAGTACTTTCCTATGGGAACAGCTAAAAACGCAAATAAAACGATTGTTAAAGCTTGTATCAAAAAAAATAAAAAAACGCCTAGGGGTATTTACCCCCTCTACCTTTATACGAAATTCCAGGTCGTTTGGCACAAAAATGAAGGAATTGAATCAATTTAAAGAAATGGCAGGAGGAGAAGAAGGAGGAGAATCATCAGTAAAAACAGTATTTCCCTCCATACTTAAGTATGGAGTGAAATAAATAAATGAAAATCTTTTTTTTTTAAATAGGGTTGATGGGAGTGAGTCATGACAATGACGACAACAAAGTTGACATTGAGCCGTTTCCGCCGGGTCACTTTGAGGCGTACGACCTCAGTCCCAACGGCAAGGTCACCCTGAGGGAACGTGCCAGGTTCCACAAGATTGGAGACATGCCCAAGTACGACGCTCTCGTGAAACCACAGGGTAAGTTTCAACTTTATAGTTCTTTTTTTCAGTCTATGTCATAGGTATGGATTAGGTATTGTTTTTTTCATCTTCCTTCTTCTCCATTTTTGGCCATTTCTTTGAATGGATTCAGTTTCTTTATGTTGTGGTCAAAATGTAATGACCTAAAGGTTGGTATAAAAGGTAGAGTGGGGCAAAGTTTAGTGACATTTTTTTTAGATACAAGCTTTTAGATACAAGCTTTTAGACGTGGTCGTTTTCCCATTGTGGACATGTCACGAGGTTTGAATGGTAGCTAGGTTTACTTACTTATTTACTGAAATATAATAAATCTTATAGATCATAAGCCATGTTGTTACATCATGCATCGTTTTTAAGCCTTTGTCTGCATTGATTAACGTTGCTGTTGTGTTTTAGAAAAGGAAGACATTTATACCAACATCCGAGTTCTCCTGGAAGGAGCTGTGAAGAAGCGACTGCTCGGAGGCCGAAGGATCGGGTGTCTGCTATCAGGTCGGCTACAAAAATTATGCAAATCAGGAGCTAAATTGCATAATTAATGAGGAAATTTGATAAATATGCTCCGTTTGATAAAGGTGCATATACCAAGTCCGTGGTAGTGCGCCGTAAAAAAGTGACAATGGAACAATAGCAATCGGCACCTTTACAATTGAAAAATTCACCCAGATATACTAAAAATTACTCTGATGTACAAATAAAAAAAAACAGATTCCCACCTAGTCAGTGCATTTTTACTCATTCTGAATCTGGTACTTAGCATGCTGTTGTCAACAAAATCCACTGAGGCTAAGATGGAAACAAAGCTCTGCAAAGTATCCAATTATATTTCACTATGTTTGACTAATCAGTGGTTCACCGCTAGCGCTGGTATTCTTACTTCAATTTAGATTTCACTAAGCGCTAAACGTCACATTTGTATGAATAAATGAATGAATGAATGAGACTTTATTTTCGTGTCGTGAGCTTTCCGGCGCCCAGCCCTTGTGGGCTTATACCACACCTATTCAATGAATTATACATAAAAAAAGAGAATCAAAGGTACAGATAACAGAATCCAAACAAAATATGAACACAAATAAAGGTAGGCTATATACAATAATGGTGAACAAAGTGAACTCATAAGAGATCGTAAATGCAAATAAATAAATCTTGTTTTGTATGTGTCACCTCTTTGCCAGGTGGTCTGGACTCCAGTCTGATCTCTGCACTTCTGCTGAAACATGCTAAGAAGTCCGGCATCGTCTACCCTGTCCAGACTTATGCTGTGGGAATGGGGGGCAGTCCTGATGTCTTGGCTGCCAGGACGGTAGGAATTAGAATTTGTATTTATTGGCAATGATAAAAATCATTACAAGGGTCAGCACAGGCAGAATTGTCGGCTGGCACTAATGCTTGTAAAACAAGAATTCGGAGACCTCACATACTTCCATGAAATATATGAGTTTTATTACATGTTTTTACACAGTACACTACACTACAGTACAGATCAAAATAACACAGGGTTTTGGTTTCAAACACACAGTAGTACCGTTGGCCTGGATATGGTCATGTAGGCTTTTCCCGAGGGAGAAACTCATTAATCAAGACGGGCAGACGCGGCCTCCACCCCGCACATCAGTTTTCCCTGCCACCCCGCACATCTGTTTTCCCGGAAGTTCTGCTACAGTAGCAAGGTCAGCCACCAGGAGTCCCATATTTGACCTTGACCTTTGTCTTTCGTAGATCTACCAACATTCCAAATACCATCACAATCCATAAAGGCGTTCTGAAGTTATGCTGACTAGAAATGTGCGAACACACACACACACACACACACACACACACACACACACACACACACACACACCATATACGGGGTATTTTTTTTTACAGTCCATATTTTCCAGGTTGCGAAGTACATCGGCAGTGAGCACCATGAAGTGTCCTTTACCCCAGAGGAGGGGATTCAGGCCATCGAGGACGTCATCTACAATCTGGAGAGCTATGACGTCATCACCATCCGGGCATCTGTAGGTCAGTACTACTGCAGCTCTCACTTGTCCATGATCCTGATTGGTTGAAATACACATAAACATACTCTTACTTGACATGTCTCTGATTCTAATCGGCTAAAATAGGAGTGCCATATTACTTCAAATTTCTATACTGAAAGTAAAAAAAAAAATTTAAACATGAAAAGTCCATCCTGATCTTGGAATAGATGAACAACGTTACATTTTTAGAATGTCTTACATTTCCGTGACTAAGAGGCATTGGTCATCAAGAGTCTAGGGCCCTGACCAGCAGAAGTGTTGCTAGAGGCATTATTTAGCCAGGCTACGATGTATGGAGGTGAATGTTGTCCATCTGTTTTAGCTATGTACCTGGTGTCTCAGTACATCCGCACGAAGACAGACTCTGTCGTCATTTTCTCCGGGGAGGGATCTGACGAACTCGCTCAAGGGTACATCCACTTCAACAAGGTCGGTGCATATTTTATCTGCCTATTTACCGCTGACGTTACAGGGAAACCGTGCCCTAGAAACAGTGCACTAAAAACCCACCTCTCTTTTTAAAAAGAATATAAGACTAATAGTATTAATCTTTACATTGCTGTTCTTCCACGTTGTGCCCTCTATATCATTGTATTGTGTATCTTACAAATGTATGCATACATTGTAGTAGATGTACCTAAGTGTTCCACGACTCCATGCATTCGCTAAATAATATTAACCTTGACGAGTGTTGACGAATTATAATAGTTTTTCAATGATTATGAAAAACTTACGTCACTTCTTCCATTGCCCCATCCGCCAGGGGGGGGGGGGCAAAGTCTAACAATTTCGAGATCTCGTTTAAAAGCCTTTGCCTTATTTGTACCTGCATTTGCTGTGCAGTTGTAAACTGACTTAACCTGGCTCTACTTCCGTCCAAATATGCATTGATTTACCTTCAAGAGTTAAAACAGTAATGATTTTTACGTGCTTTTGAATGTATATCGACTTCTACAGCTTAGATATGACCTGTTAATAAATTTCTCTGCTCGCATCTCTAGGCTCCGTCTGCAGATGAAGCAGATGTGGAGAGCCGACGGTTGCTGAAAGACCTCTACATGTACGACGTCTTGAGGGCGGACAGAATGCCAAGTGCTCATGGGTAAGCCAGTAGTCACAATTGATCAATGAAAATAAGTTATCAACCTATTATTCCTATTTTCAGATTAAGATGAGGTCGAGGATTTCAAACTTCACGGGAGTTTGGAATCTCTGATTTGAATTCTTGTTCCAGCCTGGAGCTGCGTGTGCCCTTCCTGGACCACATGTTCACCGGTTACTACCTGTCCCTACCGGCCGAGTTGAGACGAGCCAAGGACGGGATTGAGAAGTACACCCTGCGGAAGGCGTTTGACGGAACGGGCCTCCTGCCCGATGAGATCTTGTGGCGCCCGAAGGAGGGATTCAGCGACGGTGTGTTATCGGTGAAGACATCGTGGCAAGAAACCCTCAAGGAGTATGTGGAAGAACAGGTGACAAAATGTGTTGTCTTTTGTCCATTGTCTGTATGGCATTGCTAGAGCTAGAAGTAATGGTTAGCCTGGAATCAAACCTCTGTGTCCATTGCCTCCTTATATAACTGGATTAACATGGCCATTCTATGGGGTACACTGTTATAACTCACTTCCACAAAATATCATGCAACAGACTTCATTGAAAGGTTTTAAAGCTGCTCTTAAGAACATACAATCTTTACAGTCTTACATATGACCTCTGACCTCCACAGGAATAACCGACCTTGACCGATCAATGGGTTTTGAGTAACGGGCAACGATTTTGATTTGTTTCTCTACGGTTTTGTTTGAGATTCTAAGTAATTTTAGCGCGTTCGGCTCACACCTGAGAGGTTGTGGGTTCGAACCCTGCCCATGTCACCGATCTTGTGCCCTTGGGAAAGGCACTTTACACGACTTTCCTCACTTCACTCAGGTGTAAATGAGTACTTAGCTTCGGCTAGGGACGTCCCTCGGATAGGACGTTAAATGGAGGTCCCGTGTTTGGGAGAGCCACACCCCACGCACGTTAAAGAACCCACCACACTTATCGAAAAGAGTAGGGGACCTTCCCGGTGTGAGTGGTTCAAACCTTACAGTCTGGTCTCGGGGTTGACATCTTTGAAAAGGTGATAGTCACCTGTTATGTCAATCCTTCCACAAAATGTGGTAAATCGTCATAAAATAAAAAATAAAAATCTCATGTATTTATTTTGTATATTACCTGCGTTATTTATGTTTTACATACAATTCTCTGTTACTTCTGTTTTAGTATTAACTTATGTTATATTATTTCTGTAAACTGGGCCCCACTGAAAATCAACTTGTCAAAGCTGAGTTGGGCTACACAGGTGTGTTAAAATGAAATAAAATAAATTCTCAATTGCCATGGACTAATATGGATAAAACTTGAATCATAATGTAGATTATATTACCCACCCACATTACTAACTTCGCTTCCGGCTACGAGATACACATGCGCAAGAGTTTTCTTCCTAGTTGTTTCTGAAATAATTTAAATATTTCTTAAGAAAAAAAAACTGCTATGAACATAGAGATGAACATAGAAATGTATCAATACCATACAGATGCCTGTATGGTATTGATACATTTGATATCGTAAAAGCAATAACCCAGTGAAGAATCTGCAGTTATAAATGGAATGTGGAAACAGAAAGTAGCCTTTATGGGAGATTTTCTCATTTTTTCAAAACAAAAGATGTGGAGTTTGATTTAACAAGCTTTCAACATTTCTCAAATCAAGGTGAAGTACAACAGATTTTAAGAGACTCGATGCTACAGACAGTTTTGAATAAAATCTTTGAATGCAATAACCCACACAATGCAAAAATATGTGAATATATAAAATGTAATTAAAAACGTATTCATTTATTCATGTCTTTACCTTAAAGGTTAGCGATGAGATGATGGAAGACGCCCCCAAGACGTTCCCGTTTAACCCTCCACGTACCAAGGAGGCTTACTACTTCCGCCAGATCTTCGAGAAACACTTCCCCGGCAAGTCCAAGTGGATCCCTTACTACTGGATGCCGCGGTGGAGCAAAACCGACGACCCCTCCGCTCGCACACTCAAACACTACAAGCCGTTCTCTTCTTCGCAAGCTCCGAAGAGAACTATGTTTCCCGTCTATTTCACAGACAACACACACAATTAGGGTAGTGAGCTCACCGTCACCTCAGTACGGTCGGGCATTTATTGCAATTGGCTCCTCAACTCAGTAACACCAATACTCTCTACACAATGTAGCTCTCATAGCATGTACATACGTATACAGGAGCCTAATACAACAACAACAAGTCATGTGCTGCGAGCTGGCGACCTATTTTACCCTGGTTGCCAATTGTTTAGCCAAAGTCGGGCTGGTCGGTTAAACCAAGGCTCTGTCCAGCGGATGTTTAACGCATCCTGACTTGTAAGTAACTTCTAACCGGCGAAGTTCAAAAGCTCATCTGCGTGAACAAGGTTGAAAACATCCTGGCTAAGCAAATGATGCGTTACAGGTACACCTGAATAACTACTGACCTTCGTAAGTTAAGTGGTTCAAAATACGACAATAACACAATTCTGGAGTATATCAGAGGTTACAACTACACAACATACTAAGTACAGCAAATGGCCACAATGTGACTGGGAACGCTAGCAAGGCAGGTATCTTGCAGAGAAGAGACAACGTGAAGGTTATGTAACAACTGATTACGTACGCTATGTCGCAGGTACCATTGAGGATAACGTACAGTGCTATGACGAAATGTACGAGTCTAGACAAGTCAGTAAGAACTAAGGTAGCGCGATGTCGTATGAGATGAGAAAACATAACTAACGTCCTAGAATCCAGGTGTTCTCGGATTAGTCATGGGAGGGTTGGGCGGGAATGTGACCGTACAGAGAAAGGTTGAGCCACGAATGACCCTTACGAGGGCTAGGGAGGAAGGGTCAGAGGGTAAAGGGGCGGAATAATTAGTATCAGGGTAGGGGTCACGTGATTGTCTGTTCAGCCGACGGGAAACGAGATTATCTCGGCAACGAGAAAGAATATCGACATTTGGTTTGCAGTTTTGAACTTCTGACCGGAAGGGCTTTCCAATGATACCATGGTTTCCCTGTTTTC